CCTATATCATAGTCTCCATTTGTATAACAGTGGAGGTTGTGATAATGATGTGTAAGTTCCTTACTAATGTGAGTATTGCAGACTCTATCGGGGCTCTGGATACAGGGTGGCTGCTATCAAGTTGGCAATCTCTAATTTGAAGCAATCAGACACAAGCATAAGGAGGAGTATTTAATAAAGGTGTCTTAACAGTACTCGTCTAAGTGATACTGTTGGTTGTAAGAAAGAGTGGTTCTCAGCCTAGGCACAGATGAGAATCATCTGGGAGCTCTAAACACTTCCCAGTGTTTTCTGCTCCTATCTTCAGGGGAATCAGATTTGAATTGGTCTGGGGTGAACCCTAACCCAAGTTGTTTTTAAAACTGCCCAAGTTATACCTTTGGATGTGTAGCATTTAGGTCATTTCCAGTAGGAGAGGGAGGGTGTCCTTTGCATTTAAGAGGAGTTGTGACTTGCTCAGGGTGGTCAAGTTTAAATGTAGATGGCAGAGCCAATGCAGCTCTTTCTGTGACAGTGTTGTCTATATCATAGCAGATACAGGGAGATAGGTAGTGTGGTGTCAACATAGCCAAGGAACCTGAAGCGTTTGGAAGATTTTAGGTCTAGAAATGGCCTCTTAGGCTTGGAAGTGGTAAAGGTTTTTGAATTTCAGTTGCAGGAATTCATTGGTGACTTGTAGAGAGAACAATGTGTTGATCTTGTATCCTCCAGCTTTGCTAAAGTTTTTGTTTTTGTTGTTTGTTTTTTGTAGATTTTGTCAGATTTTTCTGCCTAGGCTGTCAGGTTACCAGGAAGAAGACTATTTTACAGCTTTCCAAATGGGTTGCCTTTTATTTCCTTTTCTCTCCTCATTGTACTGTTTAGAATCTCGATGTGAAGTCTTGATTAGTGCCATCTCTGCCCTGTCGCATATCTTAAAAGGACGCCCCAGCTCCTGTGACTAAGGATTTATCTAGCCACGTGTGATCAAGTGAGGAAGCCCCCTTTTTTTTCCTGTTTGAGATCTTATCAGGAAGGGACAGTAGGTTTTTGTCAGTGGATTTTTCCCACTGATTTAGAAGACCAGCTGGTTCCCCTCTTAGCTTATTAATTGCTTTTTTTGACAGTTTTGACAGTTTTTGACAGGGCATTTCCCTGCCTCACCCTCCAGAGCTCTGATATTTAAGTTTATTGATTGATATTTTGATTGTTTTGAACTCTTGCATTTCTGGGATAAGCCAACTTTTCACAATGTAGTATGTTGTGGATTATGTAGGCTAACCCATGTGTTATTTAGAAGTGTAGTATTTTGTTTGCAACCGTTTGGGGATTTTCCAGAGACTGCCGTTCATGTTCCCAACTTTGATTCCATTGTGGTCAAAGAAAATTTCTTTTCTTCAGTAGGACTTGAATGCATGTTGATTTGTTGAGACTTGTTCTGTGTCCACAATATGGCTAAACATGCCAGTACACTTGAAAGAATGTGTGTTTTGTTGCTCTTGAGCCAAATATTCTGTTTCTGTTAGGTCAAATTGTTTGATAATATCATCCAAATCATTTGTATCCATGTTTGTTTCCTAACTAGATCTGTCAATTGCTGAGAGAGGGTTGCATAACCAAATGCCAAGAAATGGTGACCTAACAGAAATGCGTTCGCTAACAGTGCTGAGGAAGGGCAGACACCATGGTTGATTTGCTTTGAGGACTCTTTTCTTCACTTGTTGACAGCCATCGTCTCCCAGGTCCTTACATGGTTATCCCTTTATGAACATGGGGTCCTTGATGTGTCTGTCTTCTTATAAACCATGGCAATTGCTTATATTATTTTGGATATCTCTGGGGCATTCCTGACCAATACCTCATAGGGGAGGTATCCTATGCCAGGCACTGAGATTTTCATCAAATAACTGATGCCTTAGGAGAGCAACATTGTCTATCCATGCAGGCTACTTCCATTTAAACTCATTTTAAGAAATGTGTTTTTTTTTTTTTTTTAAAGAAACAAGTGTTTAAAATTATTTCACCAAATCATAGGTTTCAATGTGGTTCTTTCTTCTGTCATTTGAGTAGCCCTTCTCTGCCTCCTTTTCTCTACTTCTTCCTTGTCACATTTTGATAACATGTAATAAAATTGTAATAACACCCTTATGGTCCTTGTCTGCTAATTCTAATGTCTCAGTCAGTTTCCATCATTTTTTTCCAATTATGAATTCTATTTACATTCTTGTCTCCTTAAGTGCCTGATAATTTTTGACTTTGTGAATTTTACCTTGGTTGGATTCTGGGAAATTTTATAGTCTTTGTGGTATCTGGTGTGCTTTTTCTCTGAAATATAGTTATGTTCCTGGATAGCAGTAACAGCCTTGGGGCAGTGTTTTTCAAATAGCTTATGTAGGCCAAGGAAGGTGCTCAAAGTAGAGCTAATCTCTACAAGGCATGGTCACTCTGCATTTCCTGTAGAATAGGGCAAAATTGGGGTTCCTGATGTACAGGGTCCTGCTCCTCTAAACCTGCTGGAGAGGCATAGGGTGTATGTTGGAGGGGTGGGGGACTTTTTTCTAGATGCTTGATGGGCACACATAAGCTCCTCAATACTGGTCCTTTTTGAAGTTTTTTCTGCAGACCTTAAGAGTTCTGCTTTGTGGCTGGAGAGATGGCTCAGAGGTTAAAAGCACTGGCTGCTCTTCCGAAGGTCCTGAGTTCAATTCTCATCACCACATGGTGGCTTACAACCATCTGTAATGGGATCTGGTGCCTTCTTCTAGTGTTCAAACATACACACAGGCAGAATACTGTATACATAATAAACAAATACATTAAAAAAATAAAAGAGTTCTGCGCTGGGCGGTGGTGGCACACGCCTTTAATCCCAGCATTTGTAATTCTAGCATTTGGGAGACAGATCTCTGTGAGATTTAAGGCTAGTCTGGTCTACATAGTGAGTTCCAGGACAGCCATAGCTACTGACAGAGGAATCCCATCTTGAAAAACAACAACAACAAAGATTCTGCAGCTCTTCATTCTGTGGTGCCTTGTAGGAAACTCTTCTTGCTTTCCTTAACAGGTATCTCACTGGACTGCAGCCTAGAGTCTTCTTAAGCAGCAGTGGTGGTGGGAGTGAATTCACCTTAACTTATTCTTCCCTCTGAAGTGCAGTCATGGGTCCCTGAACAAGGATGCAGTTTGGATGTATATCATCAGCAGTTGTCATTGTGTGGTATCACAGAGTGTGTTCATATAAACTAAGATTGCCTCAAATCACCAAGTGGAAGGGCTTCAGCCTTACTTCAGTCTCAGAGCACCTCGGTGCTTGAGGAGATTTGCTGACCAAAGCATCCCCATTGCTGTCCTTTATTTCCTGCTGCAGTGTTTGCAAAACAATGGTTCTGTGTATTTTGTGCATGATTTTAGGTGTGAGAATACATTTATTCTCTGGTAAGATTTTTGCACCAGCAGTGGAAGAAAGATCCTCTGAATTCAGAGTTAAGTAAATAAAAATGTTGCTGTCATGGTGTTCCATGTCCCCCGGGATCCAAAAAGCAGGTTAGCCCATCTTCCTAGGAGTATTATTTTATACAGATCTACACTTTTGACCTCTCTTGTACTTTAGCTAGTACGATGTACAATTATGAAACTTTTTTGGGGGGGCGGTTTGAGACAGGGTTTCTTTGTGGCTTTGGGGGCTGTCCTGGAACTAGCTCTTGTAGACCAGGCTGGTTTCACAAACTCACAGAAATCCACCTACCTTTGCCTCCCAAGTGCTGGGATTAAAGGTGTGTGCCACCACCGCCTGGCCCAATTAATCAGTGTTCCTTCAGGGTTGCCACCCATACCACCATGCAGTGAATTCTATGGCTGCTGTTGACTCAGATGTGCTTGATTGGCAGTGGACATCATAGAACTCTCCTATCCTTGCATTTTTAGATATAGTATGATCCTTTAATCCATGGACCTGCTCAGATAGTATGCACCTGTGTGTTTACAAACACTATTCAGTTTTACTGCCAATACTTTGGAAAAATCCATTCTTCTTATGAGACATAGGTTATTTCTTGTTTGGGACAGGTTTTTTGTTTTTGTTTTTTTTTTTTTTTCCTGTTAGAAGAGTTAGTATAGTGACTACAATGCATGAGTGCTGGGGGCTGGGCAGAAAGTAAAGTAATTCTTGTAGCCTGGATGCTTTTTAAATTACATTGTCACACTGTTTAAAGTTTGTAAGAAATTATCAAGCTTTTTTTCTTTTCCAAAGTAGTTGTTACTGAGTACATGAGACATGATACATTTTTTTTTCTCAGTAAATTTCAGTTATCTTGGTGGGTGTTCAGTGACCTCCGTGTGTGTCTTGACTAATACCCACATGGTTATTACTGATCATGTACTGTCGTCAGCAGATAGGCATAAGGATGTTTCTTAAAAAAAGATGAATGTTTCTAAGAGCCTTAGTCTCTGTAAACACAAACTTGGTAGATGAAAGCTAATCTCCTCATACTAATACTTGTCACCATGGTTAAGGAAGAAGCACCGAGTGTGTCCTAGGCTTACCCTAGGACAGTCTTCTCTACATAAGAGCACATTGGCCTGAGAGTCTCTGAACCTTAGTGGTTAATTTGGGACACCTTTGAAAGGAAAACTGTTCCGTATATCTTAACTTCATTTCGCTCTTTGCTAATTATTTATTCTACAAGAAAAAGCCTGTGTCTGGGAGGGTGAGTGGTTACTTTGTTATTGCGGTGGATGATGTAAGCCTGGAGGTTGGAAGGAGCATTTTATCACCTCGGTAGCTGCCTAATGTCTCAGTCCTGACGCACCCCAGGGGAGATGCGCATACTGACCGAGGGTGCCCTGCCCCCTGGATTCCAGAGTGTCATCCACTGGCTCTCTTCAGGAACTGTAGTTTGGTTGGTAAAGCTCCTCTTTCAGCCCCTTTCAAGGTTCGCTAGATTTATTATCTCCTAGGAAAGAAATAAAAAAGAAGACCCCACGAGCCAAAGGGCTGACAGTTTCTTCCTTTACTCTTTCAGCCAGAAGGATTTACCACGTGTCCTCACAGTTTTAAGAAAAAGGACTTTAAAAAGCCCAGAGTCTGTGGAGTGTGCAGACAGACCATTGACGGTCAAGGGATTGCTTGCCGAGGTAAGTCCATGCCCTTGAACCTCTCACCCTTTAGACCCAAAGTGTGTGTGTGGGGGGGGTGGTAAAATGAAGACAGCCATTTATCTGGGAGTTTCCAAAAGTTAAGTCATGGAATTTCCCTGTTGCACTTCTCTTTACCCCCCACCTGGCAGGGCCTCCCATGTTTACAAAGATACACACTCCTAAGGAAAATTTCTAGAAAGAGCCCAGCTATTACCCTAAGCAAGTAGGCTGCCATGGGCAATTTGTGTCTTCAAGTCAGGACATTTACAGCCTACATTACACTTTTCAGGGTTTCACTTTCAAATCTCCTATGCAAATGAAGTGTCTCTTCTTGAATTAGGGTCCATTTTGCTGGTTTTGTTTTTTATTTTTTAGTAATTTATTTGTTTATTTTATGTGCATTTTTTTCCCCTGAATGTATGTCTAGATGAGGGTGTTGGATCTCCTAGAACTGGAGTTACAGACAGTTGTGAGCTGCCATGTGGGTGCTGGGAGTTGAGCCCAGGTCTTCTGGAAGCAGCCAGTACTTTTAGCCACTGAGCCATCTCTCCAGCCCAAGTTACGGCTCATTGTATTCTGGGACCTCTCAGCCTGTTTGTGGAAAACATTGATCTTGATGCTTAAATGTTACAATTAGTGCAACTTTGAATTCTTTTGTGACTACACATTGGTAAATTTCCAAAATAAATGTGACTGGCTACCATCACACAGTCCAGGAAGCCCATAAGGATTGGGCCTTTGGAGTGTGTTGGGTACTGTTCTTTGGTGCCTGGTCCATTATGAGGTTTTGGGTTTCCTTTATAGTGTTAGTTCTGCCTGGCTCTCTTTTCTCTTTTCAGCAGGCTAGCCTCAACTCTTGTCCTCCTAGCTTGCCTCCTGAGCGCTGGGATTGTAGTGTTTGCTGCCATCCCCAGCAGTTCCTTTGGATGATTTCCAGGGTGTCCCTGGTAGGCCTTTGTAGTGTTAGGACTCTGGCTCTTTTCTCTCTTTCTGACCTCCTGAAGTTTTGGAGTAGAGAGAAGATGCACCACAATGAGTCAGGAGTGGGCTCAGAGTGTGGCACTCTTAGGATCTGTGTAGAGTTAAAAGGCATCTGCCTGGCCTGTAGTATTCCAGTTTGATGCGCTCTGCTCCACAGTGCTAACTAAAGAGCATGCTGACTGCTGTCCTGTGGTTTCCATCCCAGGCCTGCTGAGTATCTCCCTCACTACCTGAGTCCCAAGTGTTCCCTCCCACCTCAGCCTGCTGGGGGTCCCCCTGTTGACCTGGGTCAGCCTTTTACCTGAGCTCCAGTTGTTCCCTCCTACCCTAGGCCTGCTGGGGGTTCCCCTGCTCCTACCTTCAGCTTCCTGGGGGTTCCCCTGTTTATCTGAGCCCCAGTTGTCTCCTCCTACCCTAGGCTTCCTGGGGGGTCCCCTGTTTACCTGAGTCCTAGTAGTTTCCATCCATCCTAGGCCTGCTGGGATTGTCTGTGTCTCCATGTCCAGTACCCTGACCACAGGTGTCTCCTCCCACTGCACTCCTGCCTGGCCAGCTTCCATTCCTCTCACCCCACCCGCCCCACCCGAAGCTGGTGTAGAATGCTAGGACCTCTTCTGCATTCTGCTTTGAAGCAGTTTCCTACAGGCTAGCCTGGCTCTAAGCCATGACATGCCCAGAGTACAGGGGTCCAGGAAGATGTCAGCTAGGCAATGGTTCGTAGGCGTGCCCTCATTGATTGAGGAGGACAGTGGGAGTGGCACAGCCATAGGAACAGGCAGGGGATCTCCATCCCCTTACTGTTGGCCTAAAGGAAAAAGGAAGGGAGCTGAGAGCAGGTCATTGGTGTCCACGGGATGAACAGAGCTCTTTAGTGTGTTAGCAGAGGTGACCTTGTGGGGAGGGCAAGTCCTTTGTGTTTGTGAGCTCTCTATGCTGTACTTGTGGGGCTGAGTCCAACCAGAAGCAAGCCACCCTGCCGCTAGGTTCTGGACCTATTCCTATGTGTCATTGAAGGCTTCCAGACTTTTTTTTTGCCTGTTCACAAACAGTGCTGCCCTGCCCTGCATAGTAACCTGGTCCTCATGAGATCTGTGTCACAGCACTAGGCTTTTCCTGTGCATGTCCTGTCTGTACAGGAAGGTCCCATCAGCCTAGTATAATGGCCCTTTCCGTGTGCAGACCAGAGTGGCATCCTTAGTGTGTCATCTGCCTCACCAAGCTTGCTCTATCAAGCTTGCTCTGTAGTGTCTGTGAGGGAAGACAACAGACCCGGCCTGTTCTCTGGGGTTAGCACATCCAGGAACGTGTATAAAAAGCCATCTAGTTCTATTTGTACTGTTAACCCCCTTCTTCTACAAATACTTCTATTTTAAGAATTGCATCTTGGGCCTGGTGAAAGGGCTCAGTGTAAGCCTGAGGGTCTGAGTTTAGTTTCCAAAACCCACATAAAGTTTGGAAGAATGAACTTACTCCTCAAAGTTGTCCTCTGCCCTCTACCCATGTCCCATGGCATTTGCACAGTTCCCCCCACAAACTCCCCTGTAGTAATATTAACAAAAATGAATTAATTGTACCTCTAAATATGAGCCTCAAGTCTGAAAATAAGGCAGGAGAAGGTGCATTGAGGTGAAGTGGGGCTGAGGCTTCCACCTGTGTGGTCCCCTGAGTCAGCATTAGCTAGTTGTGTGCAATTTGGGAACAGTGTAATAGCTGAGTCAATATTCGGTTGGGCTTTCTTCTGGGCAGCAGCCTCAACAAAGACAAAGTTTGCTTCCCCATCTAGGGCTAGGACCCACAGAATGACTGAACCAGGGGGCTGGCAAGGTGGGTGCAAAGCCTGTATTCAGCTTCATGGGACTCCCATCAGAGTTATGTCTCCCAGAAACTCTTTATGGAAAGTGCTTTTATGGGGTCCCACATGTCTAATACCCACACATATCTTGTTCCTGTATACAAGCACAGATCATGCATGGGGATGGGGGGGGGCTCTTTAGATGAAGGGCTTTGCTTGCCAACACCTACAGCAGTGACTGGCATGCACCATGTTCATTGTCCCCAGGAAGAGTCATATTTCTTTATATAGTGAGGCCTGGTTTATGGAGGAACTTTCATACACACATTAATATATATATTTTATCCTACCTTAATATACTACCCTTAATACCGCATGTTGTTTTTGTTACTTTTACACAGAGAATCAATGGGCAAGAGCAGCAAGAAGAAACCCAAAGCAGTGTTGAGGCTCTGACTTGCAGTTGGTGTATGCTGCTTAGATGGGAGCCATTATCCATCCTTCCTGCTCTGGACAATGCTCATTGTGTTGTCCTTGTCTTTGCCTGGGCTTGGGGTTCCTTCTGTGAAGTAAGGATTCAAGGCTGGTCCTGCAGCTTCTGTGAACTCTATTTGGTGATGTGTTTAATATGTGGTACATGAAATGTCAGAGCACTTCGATGGGCATGTCGGAATGGTATGTGGTTGTGTGTACCTGCCTGCAGGTGCTCGTGTGCTCACATGTGAATGGGGACCACATATGTGGTTCTGTTTGTACATGTGAATGGTTACAAATAGGCAATGTATGTGTACATGATTTTCATGAGTGTGGATGTGCCCATTCCTCTGACTGCATGCATGTGTATGTACACATCTGTGTGTGTGTGTCTGTACACAAAGGAGGTTCACTTGAGAGTATCACTCTGACTCAGGGCACTTGGTAGAATTGCACCTCTCTGTTCTACCATGACTATAATTTAGGTAGAGCATGACTGGGAGGTGCTTGCAAAAGGAAAGTGGTACTAGTGGTATTTGAATGGAGGAGGTGTTCAACAGGCTTCTCTGCCATTCGCTTTTTAAGAAAGGTTTGCTAAGGTGTGTCATTCCCAGATAAACATTTTAGTTTCTCAGGTCCTAGGAATGTAGTCAGACCTTCATAAGTGTGCAGGCCAGCATGATGGCCTTGTGGCTCAGAAGGCACTGACATTATACAACTTTGTCCCAAGTTCTGGCTTTCTGTAAGGCTGTGAGATGTCGTGAGCACAGCCCCCACCCCCCACTGGGACCCTCTGTGAGCTGTGCTACTTCAGGGGTGCTCTAACCCTCTACCATTCAGTGACAGACCACAAGGCACTGTGTAACTAGAAGGGGCCCCTTCACACACAGCTTTATTCTAGGACCAGAACTATGAGAAATAGGTTTGCTATCTTGCTTAGCCACTCAGGCTGTGATTTTTCTTTTTAAATAGCAATCCGAATAGAGTGAGGCATCATATTTATATACACAAATGTAATAATTCTGTTATTATGCAATTACTACTTTAATGCCCTCAAATTATGTTTCAGAAATCTTAGATCTATCTGATCTTTCTCATGACTTTTCAAAAATTATTATTAAATTCAGTTGTTGCAGCTAATACTTCACATAAAGATGTTTCATCTTGTCTCTCAAATGCTTCCCTCTGTTTGAGGACAACGTAGTGTGTCAGGAGGAAATGCCCTGGTGCTATGGGTTGCATGTGTGAGCCCAGAATCCTTCAACAGTGCATTCAGATATCAAACACCCTGCAATTTCCACAGGCAGTGGTGTCAGCCGGATAGGCCTGGGAGGCATAGGAGACAGACTGCTATGCACAGCTTGGTGGCTCAGAGGCAGGCAGACATGAAATGCATTAGGGAGATGCTGTAGGTTCCGCATGTTATGGGCATGGAAGGGGCGTCATCACACTGCCAGTGGCAGTGGACTTTCAAAGGGTACCAGGGCTCAAGGGCTTAGTCTGTTAATATAATGAAAGCAGCACAGTCTGCCTCTGGGAGGTCCAGCATGTCTCAGGTGAAAGTGGGGCAATCTGGCATCCCTGTATTGTCAGGTCTGTATTACCTGATACCTGGGACATGAACCTGTTACTCCCAGACATTGTGGCCAGAACAACCTTCATCCAAGCTCTGTTTCCCTGCCCTGCCCTGTGCTTGTTGTAGCCTTCCTAGAGCCCAGTGCCCACCCTACCAGGCTGTAGACCTCCTAAGTCAGTTTCTCTGTGTTGGCCTTTGACTGTCCAGACTGGGTTTCCTTTGAGACTTATCTCCCATGTTTTGATGCTTCCCTCTTGAGCCTGTTCTTAGGGAGTGGACCTGGGAAGCCATAAAGTTACCTTTAGGAGGACTGCACTCTTCCTTTCCTGAGTGGTCTTTGAGGCTGGGCCTCCCATGTGGATCCACCTCTTCCCAGGCACTTGAGCTCCCACCCCCTCACAGTGCTCAGTCATTCATGGCTGTTGCTTGCTATACCTGCTTCCTGGTTAGCTCCTGTTATCCTCTGGGGTTCTACACAAGCCTCAGTACTCAGAAGGTAGCTTGCTGCCCTGATTCTCTCCTAATGCCTGGTTGGTCAGTGAGTAGCTGCAGAATATTATTTGCTTTCTCTCCTAGAAGGAAGCCCAAGGTGCTGAGGGGCTGGCTTTGCTTTGTGGACCAGGTGTCTTGGTGCTGAGCGTGTCCCTGGCACAAAGCAGTCATGTTGCTCTTGAGTATGGCACTCACTTGTAGCACATTGGGTGAGCAAATTGATGCTTGTGCATGATTACACTTGTGGTGATGGATGTTGTTTGAGTATGGTTTGTCCTCTCTTAATTTCCATTGTGAATGTGAAGAGGGTGGAAACACTCTTGGTATTGAGAAGTGGGGCCTGTGGAAAGTCACTAGGATTCACAGAGTCATTCACATGGACTTCAGTGATTAAGTATTAGTGCTTCTGCAAGAGGGATGCATGGTCATGCTTCCCCATACATGTATGCTTCCTGTGTCTGGCCACATGTTGTCCTTCTCTATATCTTGTACATTGCCATTGTGATAGCCATTACCAGATGTGACCCTTCCACCTTGGAGAAGAATTGGGCCAAAATCAATTTCATTCAGTCTGTGGGTTTCATTACAAGCCACGCAAAATAGTGTAAGTTAATTAGAAAGACCCAAAGGTTCCCTTGTCTAGTGGGCAGGCATGTATGAAGAGAAGGATGTTAATTTTGGGAAGCAGACAGGTCCTGTGAACCAAGTTGGTGAAGATAACACTCTGATTGGCTGTTCTTCAGCCTCTACTGCCCAGGCTGAGAGCTCCTGCAATGCCTTTGAGTCTCATATGTGCCCCAAGTTGCTCAGCAGGCACATAGGGACAGTAGGCTGCTTGAAGATCTCGATGAAGTTGGCAGATAAATGCCTGGCTCACTCCTCTGTTCTTTTCTTGCAAATCCACATGACGTAGGTAACTCTAAACTTTTTCCCAAAGCAGTTAGAGGTGACCCCCCTGACATCTCTAGCCCAACCTCTTCCACAGTTCCCTCTATTTTCCTCCTTAAAATGTCCTTGTGATGGCCCGGCCTGCCTCAGCAGGCCCCCCCCCCACCACCATCAGTTTTTCTCCATCCTGAGACATAGTGGTATGACAGAATCTTCCAGAAAAACAAGAAGAGGCACCTTGGGAGACTTTTCTCTCTTATGTTATTTATCTGGTGCAAAGTGTCATGACTCTCCCTCTCATTCTGCCTCCTGGACTGACTTCTCAGTTCTGGATTTTGACTGCAGTGCTCCCTGTATTCTGCAATGTTGCTCTTCCCACGATTCCTCAAGGGTCTGAGTGGTTAGGCTTTGAGGTTTCTGTGGACCAGGGACATCAGGGTCCTGTTAGTCAATTTTGCAGGCAGATTTTGATTTAAAAGTTTTTTTTTGTGTAGACTGCCTGGTAAAATCCAAGTTTTTGCTCCACAGTAGCTATGATCCAGACACTTTCAGAGCAGTAAGTAGGGTTTCTGATTTCCACAATATTGCTCAGTCAGTGCTCTTTCTAGGTGCTCATGGCTGTCGGGGCCACCACTGGGGACAGCTCAAGAGATTGCTGCTGAGTCTCCACATAAGGTGTTGGAGGAAATGAAAAGCAGAGTGTGATTCACTTACAGGCTCATTTTATAACTTAGTAAATATCTGTAGAATGTTGTAGAATGACTCTGCCAACCTTGTCAGCCTGCAGCCTGAATTCCCAAGGCTTGTGGAGACACTTGGAAGAATAGCACTTCCAAGAGGACATAAGAAACGTCAAGCCTTTTTGAGCCAGACAGCTGTGATCTGAATCGGCAGTGGGAGCCTGGATTCTTAAGCCTGACTTTGTAAACTCTTCTGTAAGTACAGAGTCGAAGTGTGCTGTGTTGACTCTTCCATGGAATACAGGGTGCAGGCAGGCACTGAATGCAGGAGAGAGGACAGGAAGGGAAGCCCTCTGAGTGTCACATGCAGTGCTGAAGGCACCAAGCCTAGTCCCGGAGCTCTGAGCGTTCCACTTTTGCAGTCTGTTAAATACCAAGCCTAGTTATTGCCTGAAACATCTGCCGTGTTTCTGTGTATTGAACAGACTTGCCTTTCAAATCCTTTGTTTAAAAATTAGATGACTTTTTTTCCTTCTTGATTTCTCAGACTTTGTTATGTTAGGAATGCTGCCTCTTTAAAAATAAATATTATGCCAGGCAAAAACATTTGACACTTTTCTGATGGCTTTGAACTCTATAAACAAATTGACATTTCTTATTTTTCCACCATAAACATCGAATATTCTCACTCCCTTGTTCCCCCCCTTCTGTTTGAGGTATTTATAGCATGCAAATGTGGTAAAGGTTTTAGGCTTACCCATCTTTTCATTTACATTCTTGCTTCTTAGAGTACCTATCCCTGCTCATTGTCACAAAGACAATCTACAATGGCTAATGCTCATTTTTGCCTCTCCTGTTAACTAATTGGCACATCTGGAATTCATGTAGTTAGTGCTGTTGCTTTTTTCACAGACTAAGCAGTTTGTCCATTTTTGCCCCGCCTCCTTTGAGGCAACCTGTGATGTTTCTCTTGTGTCAGCTTCTTAGGGATGGATGAGCTCCTCGTGTTTGTTTCATATTATACAAAGAGCTTTATGTCTTTTAGCCTTGGCTTCTAGAAAGTACTTTCACATATCAGATCTTTAGCAAGCACGGATTTTATTTTGGTTTTTCGAGACAGGGTTTCTCTGTGACTTTGGAGGCTGACCTGGAACTAGCTCTTGCAGACCAGGCTGATCTCAAACTCAAAGAGATCTGCCTGCCTCTGCCTCCTGAGTGCTGGGATTAAAAGAGTGTGCCACCACTGCCCGACACAGGCATGGATCTTAAATAACTACCTCTCTTTCTCTACATATACATACATACATACATACATACATTCATTCATTCATTGTAGGTAATTTTTCTTTTTCTTTTCCTTTTCCTTTTCCAAGACTAGGTTTCTCTGTGTAGCCTTGTCTGTCCTGGAACGCACTCTGTTAACCAGGCTGGCCTTGAACTCCTCATTGCTGGGATTAAA